AGAAACTCTCAGAGATACCCTGGGCTTTCAAGCCAGAAAAGGCTTATAGAAGGACAAAGGGCTGAGAGAAAACCCCTGACTCTTCAGACATTCAGATAAGAAACTGGGGTTGGGAGCCAAAGAGAAGTGAGGTCTTCCTCATGGCTGGAAGCTAAGGAAGATGTCAAGAAGAGCAAAAAAGTTGAGAATAAGAGCCCTAAGATGACACTCGCTTATAGGAAAAGTCCGGATCCTGCCTTCAAAATATTTGAGGCCAGTGGTGGAATGAATCAAACTAAACAAGTACAACATAGCCCAAATCCAGTTCAACTATAATATAAATATAAAGTAAGTATAATCCAGATTGTATTTACTCAACCTAAATCCTAGTGGCCTTATAGAAGGAGTGTGTTCTTTTTTAGAGGAAAATATCATTTAATTCATTGTCTATTTTATTTTTACATAAAATATCCAGCACACATTTTTAAAAAAAATCAAGACACACACAAAAAAGCAAGAAAATGTAACCTTTGGTCAAGAAAGATAAACATCGGTAGAACTTAATCAAGAAATAGCTTGATGTTAGAATCATCACAGTATGACAAAAATGCTAAAGGACTTACAGAAGTGGAAACCAAGTTTGAAGATATGAGCAACTTCAGGAAAGTGATGGAGAATGTAAAAAATGACAACAGAGAGGAAAGAAACTTGAAAGGAGATAGCATCCAAATTATAAGACAAAGAGAAAAAAATATTTTAAAAACGGAGTATTTGAGACCTATGAAATAATGTCATGTGGTCTAACATTTGTATTATTGAAGTAATAAAAGAAGAGGAGAGAGAGACTAGGCAGAAACAACATTCAAAGAGATAATAGATGAGAATTTTCCAAAACTAATGAAAAATATCCACTTCCAGGTCCAAGAACTGCAGCCAACATCAAGCAGAGTAAACAGAAAGGAAAGTACATTCAGGCACAACACAGTCAAAATTCTGAAAACCAAATTTAGAAAGCAGATCTTGAAAGTATCCAGAGGGGGGAGGGGGGAGAACCATGACATGCAGGGAACTAAAATATGAACTACACATGACTTTTAATAAGAAAATAATGGAGATAGAAATAGAATGACATGTTTAAAGTGCCGAAAGAGGAAAAAGATCTGTCAACCTAAAATTTTATATAATGAAAATTATCTTTCAAATATGAATGTGAAATAAAGACATCCTCATACAGACAAAAGTTGAGAGACTTTGCCAAACTGCACTACAAGAAATGGTGTAAAAAGTTCTTGAGGCCAAAGAGAAATTATATATGATCTGCAAGAAGAACTAACACCAGAAAGGACAAATATCTGGGCAAATTAACAAGAGATATATATCTTAGTACCTTTATTATATACATATATTCCCAATTTTTAAATGTCAAAAAACCTACAATGCACAACATGTAGAAATGAAATATAAATCAATATAAAGAATGGGAGAGGGGCAAATGAAAGCATGCTGCTGTAAATTTCTTATCCTATATAATAAAAGCCTAATATGCTAAGTGTCCGACCATTCAACCAGTTGCTGTGATGAGCACTAACCATCAGGGGGCAGATGCTCCAACCAGTAGGTTAGCTTGCTGCTGGGGTCCGGCTGATCGGTACTGGGCCAGACATGCCCTGAAGCCCTCTCACAGTCCCTCCCCGGCCCTGATCCTGCACCGGTGGGGTTCCTCGGCCTGGCCTGCACCTTCTTGCAATCCGGGACCCCTGTGTGTGTGGGGGGGGGATGTTGGAGAGCCAGTTTCAGCCCAAACCCTGCAGGTCAGGCAGAGAGACCCCACCAGTGCACCGGGCCTCTTGTATAGTCATAAAATAGATAATATTATTTGAAGATAGACTGTAATCATTACAAAATCAAATTATAATTCTGAGATCAACCACTACATTTAACATAGAGAAAGAGCTAGAAAGACAATGTAGGAATTTAAATGAAATATTAAAAAGACACCCATTTTATTCCAAAGAATTCTGGAAACAGGCATAGAGAAACAAGTGATAGGAATGAATGAATGAAAAGAACTTCCCTCAACCACTATTATCGAACACTGAATGGCTTTGGAAATTAGCTTTTACTACAGACTTGATCATGGTTTTCATGAACTCAACCTAAAACTACAAGGCAAAATAGAGCTACGTGTGAAGCATATACTGCAGTTAAATCATTTTGATGCAACTAACATTGTTTGAATCACAAATATCAATCTGCTTTATACACTTTCCATGCTGTCACAAGTTAAAACAAGAAACAAGATTTCCATTCCGACACAAATTTGGAATTTATTTTTCTCTCAACTCATACTACCGTTCCAACAGTCATTTATGGATTTTGATGTCAGTAAAAAGGAAATTTCCATATTTCAAATCCACGTAACTGCAACTGAGGTGCTTCCACCTAACCTTCAATTGGAAGTGATTAATCTGCAATGTAATGGCATGCTAACGGGGAAACACTAAGAGAATGTACAGAATTCTAATTGCATAAATGTCTTCTAAGCCATAAACATGCTCAGGAAAATCATATGTCCATGGATTGATATATTTGACAGTACCAATCTGGGTGGAAAGATATTTCCAAAAATGAAATACATAAACTCTCCTTACAGATCAGCATTAACAGATAAACATTTCAGTTTTGATGATAGAGAACACTTTGAATTGGGCGTTAACTTAGTGAAACGCTATCCCCCCCTCAAAAAAAAAAAAAAAAAAAAGAGTTCCATTCCTCTTATCATTAGACCTGCATTGCAATTATTATTACTATTACATTTTTGTCAATTAAAAGTGATGGATATTTGTTTCTCTCTTGTTGTATAAGTATCTACTTAATGTCAACTTATATAAGTATCTACTCTGTGCACAAAGCCTAAAGTATTTATTACCGGCCCCTTCTCAAAAAGAAATTGTCCATCCCTAGTCTAAAGCAGTGTTTGCCACAGTTGCTACTATGTATTTTGCTTTGGAACTACATACATTCTAATTCAAACTGCTACTTGAGTGAGTCGCTTGGAGAAGATGAGGCGATAGAGAGGGAAGTTGAGAGCTGTTTCAGTCCTGAGGTCAAATAATTAAAGCTAACATTAATTGAGCACATACGATGTGTAACACACACTCAGGTAATTGAGCACTTTGCATGCATTTTGCTCATTTAATACAAGAATCCTATGAGGTGGGTACTGTTCCCCACCCCTATTTGATAGAAGCTGAGGGCCAGTTGCCAACTGCCACATTGATAAGTAAATGAAGCCGAGGTTTATAGGATTTAATCCAGCAACGGGGCATCAGAACCAGTATCTGCAACGTCAGTCCATGGGTCAAAGGCAGATAGACCGGTAATTGCCGGGGCGGGGAGGCAGCCGGTGATCCAAGAGGCACTGGTGAGGGCCCGAGCTCTCCTGGGGAGGACAGGTCTACCAGGTGACAAAAGCTGCTGAGGTCCTTGGGGGTTAGAAACACCCATTATCCCCACCTTCCCAGGAACAGGACTGCTTCCCACCCCGACTCCTTTAATAAATTCTGGTTCAGAGTGTTCTGATGAGCGTGTGAAAAAGTCTGAACTTTTGGAGAAGTGCAGGACAGCAGGTACGATGGAGAGGATCTTGGGAAATGTGCTCTGGTCTCTACGTACACACACACACACACACACACACACTACATCCATCCATAGGTATCTTCATAGTTGCAACATGACACACATCCACACAGTAAGCCCCTATGTCTGCGTTAGCAGGGCATAGCATTGAAGCATAATTATAATGCTCTCAGTCTCCTGAAACGGACAGTCAAGAGCGTTTCGGGAGCCCATACCTAATAAAAACAATAAGGCTTCCAGTGGTTCTCAACCTTCTGGCTCTTTAAACACAGTTCCTCATGTTTGTGACCCAAACATAACATTATTTTCGTTGCTACTTCATAACTGTAATGTTGCTACTGTTATGAATGGTAATGTAAATATCTGATATGCAGGATGGTCTTAGGCGACCCCTGTGAAAGGGTCGTTCGACCGCCACAGGGGTCGCGACCCACAGGTTGAGAACCGCTGCAAGCGGACCACCTGTACTCCGGGCTGACACCCGCAGCCCGCACCGACCCCTCTCCCCGCTCGATGGTTTTCCCAGGCATCGCTCGCCCCGCTCCCCGGGCAGGACCGCA